CCTGCTCGGGACTGGCGATCCACCGGCGCGGGGTCGGGAGATGCTCCCAGCCCTTCCCGGCTGCCGGAGCAAGGCGGATGGCGGGAGGCAGCTGCTGCTTTTTCATGGAAACCCCCCCTTCTCCCCCCCCTCCCCGGCCACTGAGGGCAGCCCAGCACCCTGGGAACGGGCACCGGAGTGGGGGCTGGCGCAGGCTGCGGCAAGGGATGTGCGCCCCAATGCCAGGGCATGGGGTGGCCGGCATCTCCCATGGCAGAGCGAGGGTCGGTGTTGGGATGCCAGGCAGGGCGAGGAGGAGTTGGGACACTGCAAAAAGGCAAGGAAGGAAAACTTTGCCTGCAAGGAAGACACCCTGAGCGGTGTTCCTGGGCGAGGAAGTGCCATCTCCCCTGATTTCCAGGACTGCACCTCCTGGCTGGCTGAGCCAGAAAGGATAAGGGGCCGTGCACCCCCTTTCAGGGCTCTTCCTCCAGTCCTGCGTGTCCTTGTCCTCCCAGGACTGTCACAGGAGGCGGTGGAGCCCTGAGCCAAGCCGGGTGGGAAGATGGCCGAAAAGCTGGTGCCCGGGGACCTGTTCCTGAGGAAGACCCGGGAATCGGTGTCGTCCCTGGACTCGGACAAGCTGGCACCCATCTCGCCCGAGGCAGGCGGTGAGGAGTCGTCCGACAGCGAGGGCGAGCAGGAGGACAGTTCCCACAAACTGATCCGGAAGGTGTCCACCTCGGGGCAGATGAGGAGCAAGGTCAGGGGCGCGGGGGCCTGGGGCAAGGGGCTGGCTGGTGCGCGGGGTCCCTGCCAAGAACAGCGTGGGGGGGTTTTGCCTACTCTTGGGTGTAAATTGGTGCCAGGCACTTGCTGCTTGCAGACCCAGCCAGCCAGGGCCCAGGGCAGTGCCAGGAGGGGTCTGGCCCCTGTGCCCTGCAGAAGGGCGCATGGAAGAGGTGCTAACCCCATGGTGACAGGGTCAGCATCAGTCCTGTGGGGCTGTGGAGCACAGATTTTACCCCCCACCATCTGGGGACAGTATTTCTCCCATACCAGGATTGCCCCCCCCCCTCCCCCCCAAATTGCCTGCACCCCATGTTTGTACCCTCTGGGTTCCACCCACCTGCCCCTGGAAAAAGGTGGCTCTTTCAGGAAGGTTCTGCCCCATGGGTGCTCTGTTGTTGAGATTTAGGGTCATGGCGGTGCCATAGGCTCTCAGGATCCCACACCCTGCTGCAGGCTCTGTGCGTGCAGGGCCTGGTGGGTGGCAAAATGGAGCCGGCATCTTTCCTGGCGCCCCAGATTAATTCAGCTGTGCCAGCTCCCCTGTGGGCCTCATTCCCGCAGCTTTCCCTAGATCCAGTCCCCCGTGGTGGTTTGATGGGTGGATGGGAACACCTTTGAGGTCGGATGTGACGCTCTTGCCTCCCAGCTGTTGGCATGAGGGCAGCTTGTGTGTGTGCGCGCACCGCTTGCTCAGAGGAAGCTATTTTGGTAGGACCTACAAAAATATGGGGTGTGGTGCCTTCTGGCCAAACAGGAGTGGGTGGCCGCAGGTGTCCTAGGTGGGGACAGTGAAATGGCCAGGCATCTCCTGCCTGAAGTGCAGGAAGAAACCTGGGCTGCACAGCCAGGTGGGAAGCAGGGAGAGGAGGAGGTTTTGGAGGGGGGTGTTTTGGGGAGGGGGGATGCAGGCACGACACAGGGAGGATGCTCTGGGCAGTGTGCCGTACTGGGTGAGCGGTCCCTTTGCATCCACCTCCCGGCTGTGGGAAGGAGGCGGTGGTGTGAGTCAAGGCGGTGCCTGCAGTGCCGGCGGGCATGCGGGGGCTGCCGCGCCGCGGGGAGGGGGACG